GGGACGGCCGGTCCGGGTTCAGTCGGACAACGCCACGGCCGTGGCGTACGTCAACCATCAAGGCGGCACGAGAAGTGTGGCCGCGGCTCGGGAAGTGGAGAGCATTCTGTCTTGGGCGGAGACGCACGTTCCGGCTCTCTCCGCCGTGTACATTCCGGGTGTGGAAAATTGGCAGGCCGACTATCTCAGTCGCCAGTCGGTGGACCCGGGGGAATGGATGCTGCATCCGGGCGTCTCGCCTCAATCGGCAGGTCGATCGGTTCGTGACCGTCTTTACCGTTACTGGCTTTGACGGCGTGGCTGTTGAGAGCCAGGTGTTGAGAGATCGTGGTCTCTCGGATGCGGTCATCTCTACGATGTTGCGGGCTCGCAAGCCTGTGTCGCGTAGGATTTACCACCGCGCATGGAAGGCTTATTTCGCCTGGTGTGAGTCGGTGGGGTTTCCGCCTCGTTTGTTTTCCGTTGCCAGAATCCTTGCCTTTCTACAGCGTGGTGTGGATCAAGGATTGGCCTTGAGTACGATCAAGGGCCAGATTTCGGCCTTGGCTGTCCTCTTTCAATGACCGATAGCCTCCAACGCCTTCGTTCGCACTTTCCTGCAGGGGGTTACGCGTATCGTTCCTCCTGTTTGCTCCCCGTTGCCACCGTGGGATTTGAATCTGGTGCTCTCGGTGTTGCAGGATTCTCCCTTTGAGCCTCTGCGTGAAATTCCGATTCTGACTCTGTCTCAAAAAGTGGTCTTTTTGGTGGCGGTCACCTCGGTCCGCAGGGTTTCGGAATTGGCGGCCCTCTCTTGCTCATCCCCGTTGCTGGTCCCGCACCAGGACAGGTGGTTTTGCGGCCCCGGCCGTCCTTTTTGCCAAAGTTGGTTTCGGCTTTCCATCTCAATGAGGACATTGTCTTGCCTTCCTTGTGTCCGAAAACCATCCACAGGAAGGAAAAGGCGCTACATTGTCTGGATGTGGTCCGCGCCATCCGTGTTTATTTGAGTGCTACAGCTGCCTTTCAGGAATCGGATTCCCTGTTTGTCGTTGTGGATGGGCCTCGGAAGGGCCAGGCTGCCTCGTCAGCCACCATCTCTCGCTGATTTCGCGACACGATTTTGCGTGCGTATGCCATTAAGGGGCGTGAGCCTCCTTTTTCTGTTACGGCCCATTCTACAAGGGCTGTTGGGGCATCTTGGGCGTTTCGTCATGGTGCCTCCGTTTCTCAGGTCTGTAAGGCCGCGACTTGGTCTTCTGTTCACGCCTTTGCCAAGTTTTACAAGGTGGATGTTTTGGCATCTGCGGATGCTGGTTTGGGGCGCAAAGTGTTGCAGGCGGCCGTTTGAGGGGGAAATTGTTGTTTTTAGTTGGGTTGTTGTTTTCTGTTGGCCCACCCCTCTTTTTTGGTACTGCTCTGTGACGTCCCTACAGTACATGATCTCCGATCTGTTCCCTGTGTCCTTCAATGAACGGGAGAGAAAATAGGATTTTGGTACTCGCCGTAAAATCCTTTTCTCTCCGTTCATTGAAGGACACAGGGCCCGCCCCTCTGTGTGGGTGTGTACTCCTTTACTGCTTGTTGCTAAACTGGAGACTTGTCAGCAGGTGGGGGGTTTGGCCACCAGCAGGGGCCGCCCCTAGGCTGTAATTGGTCTTTAGTTTTTTGTGCCTAGCGTCCTTCTCCTGCAGGTGGCGATATTACCCTACAGTACATGATCTCCGATCTGTTCCCTGTGTCCTTCAATGAACGGAGAGAAAAGGATTTTACGGTGAGTACCAAAATCCTATTTTTCCTTTTTTCCAGATCCCAACACCTCCAGCGGATGAGGATAGTGACTTTGTTGTGATAGAACACGAAGACACCAGGTCACCACAGAACTCAGATGAAGTTTATTCTCAGTTGTTGAAGCTTCTTCATGAACAACATGAGGTACCAGGCACTGATCCTCCCAATATCATATCTTATACTTTTATGCCTAAAGCTCAGCTCCAGCCACAATTTTTCTTTGGATGTTGTCAAATTGGTGTTACTACTGTCTGTGTTCCCGCTGGAGAGATTCCTCTCATTTTGGTCTTTGTGACAACCTAATACACTGCCACACAGGGTGCCACCAGCACACGATGCTAGAGTAAATTGGTGGGGACCCAGAGAAATAAAAAGATAACAGAGGTTCCAACCTTTTCCCACTGCAAGTTGTTTTTGTTGTTGTTTGTGCCTCTGTATATATATTTACAGCTCTGAAATAGGTTACACTACAGGGGCTTCACGGACTGTCACCATCCTGTGTTTTTCTCCTAGAAATGTTTGCGGTACTCTAAGCAGTTTACTCAGATGGGAAATGTTGCAGAAACCACAAGGCGAGTAAAGAGCCTCTACATTACAGTCACCAGATTGTCATAGAATGTAAGGTGGCCATAGACATTGGGAAACGGAGGGACGTGTGTGCACAAGTCATATTGCTCTAAGATGATGATAAACAGGTTTTCTGTCTCGTCCATTGAGAGGACATAGTAAGTCTTAGACCTTTAGGTTATGCTGCTGCCTGCGAGAAAGTAGTCTCTGCACCCAGAGGTGTTCCAAGCCCAGTGTAGCCGGTGGGGAATGGCAAATGTGGACCTACTTGTCTCTAGGTTGAGCAAACTGGATGGGTTTGTATCCAGTTCCAGGAATCCGGTGGCGGTGGATACTTCTGTGACACCGTGGGATCAATGTACCTTGATCAGTGCTCTGCTCCACAGGAACAAGATGGCATGCATTTCAGTGACCCTCATTTCTCCAGATTGGCCCAGTCAGATGTGGTACGCCGACCTGGTAAGACTTCTCACACATACGCTGTAGGCTGTGCAAGTTTGTCTTGATCTGCTGTCTCAAGGACCAGTTTACCACTCTGTGTCTCGGTCACTGGCTGTTTGTCCATTTTCCAAGGGATTGAGTCTGGGATTCCTTTAAAGCTCATAGCTAGGAAGTTACCATCGGATGTGGAAGGGGTACTATGCTTGGTGTGTATCTAAGGGCTTTTACCAGGAGTTTCTCCATGTGATGAACCTTGTCCCTTTTTTGCAGTTTTTCTAGCTCAGCACTTGGCTCTTAGTACCATCAAGGGTCAGCTGACCTGTCCATTTTGTTTGAGACCTTTGGCTTCCCACTGCCTAATGAAGGCCTTTGTGCAGGGGGTCTCTCATTTCCCCCAGTCCCATTTTCCTTTGACTCCCTGGGACATGAATCTCCCTCTGTATTTATGATCATGCTTTTGATACTGCTTTGCTACAAAACTGAGGCATGCTGATAGCCTGTCATACCCTGGGCTGGCCTGAAGTTTTTTCCTCTGCCAGATTTCTGTAGGTGGCAGTATAAACCAAAGGTTTAAGACTTCCTGTGTCTCTCACTTAACTCCAAGAAATAGATTTTACAGCAAGTACAAAAACCCTATTACTTTGTTGTATTATGTTGTTATTCATCGAGTATCTTTGACATATTGAGAATATGTAGAAAACATTTTGAAAGAACTCCTTGTGCCAAATCTTCAGCGATGTCTGACATTGTGTTCTTGTGGCAGGTTTGAGAAAATGGCAGATGAATGCAAGAAGAATTGTGATATCCTTCACCTATCACAAGCTCAGGGCCGGGATCCACCTGACTATCATTTTGAGGACAAGACGTTGAGGATAGTCCGGTAATTGTTTGTATATTGATACTTATTATGGAGAATGTTGAGGAGCAGTTCAGGTCAGATGTTCAGGGCAGACCAAGCACCAGTAACTGTTCATGTCAGACCGAGCACCAGTAACTGTTCATGTCAGACCAAGCACCAGTAACTGTTCATGTCAGACCGAGCACCAGTAACTGTTCGGGCAAGCATAATCAGACCAAACACCAGTAAATGTTCAGATCAGGCAAAGGGCAGAAATAACACCAGCACCTCTTCAGGTGAGTCATTGGTCAGATCTAACACCAGTAACCCCAATAACTGTTCAGTGATAGTCTCCAGGTATTTCTCTCTTTTAGAAGTGGCAGAACATCAGAAGGGAAGTTAAGTGTTTGTTTTTCAGACAGATTGTGCTTTTTTTAAAATAACTAACGATGATCCTTCTGTCCCAACAGAGTATTCTCGGAGCTAAGTAGTACAGAGATGCTGCTGATTATAGTACGAGGCATTAATCTGCCAGCCCCTTCAGGTGACATTCTCCTTGTCTCTGTCTCTTTTTTTTTTATACCTTACAACTCCCCCCGGGGAGAACTCTCTGTTCTTCTTTGTTGTTTGTCATGAAATCCAGAGGAAAGTGTGTTTGTCTAGCCCACATCAAATGTTCTTAACTTCTGTTTTGGGAGGAGAGGTGTCTGCACACCACGAGTCATGTCCAAGTAACGTGTAGTGGTTTTGTGTATTTTGTAATTATTATGATTAGAGCGAAAATCAAACTGAAAAAAACATATTTTTTTGTCAGGTTAATATGGAATTTTCCTATTTTGTATTCTTGTTTATATCCAATAGGTGACACTCTAAGCACCTTTTTAAGCATTCCTGTTGCAATAGCTAATTTGTGGCATTGCTCTCTGCTGTGGCATCACATGGCTCATATCTAATAGTGTAAAACAGCTGAGTTTTTAGATTCCTATGTAGCATTTGTATATCCCTTCACTATATACTCATCAGAGACAGCTGCTTGTGGTATGTGGATGCTTATTTTGCACCAGTCCTAGTTCTTCTACGCATGCTGGAATAGTCTGGCTGGGTCTTGCATATCGAGTGTCCCATCTTGCTACCATCTTAGGGACTGTGTGGATGGGCTTTGAGCTTGTGTCAATGGCATCAGTTTGACATCAGTTTAAAGGTGCCCATACACCTTACAACCATTGGAAGACTTTTGTCTTGCGATGGTTGTAAGCTAATTAAAAGCTTGTACGATCTGCCCATCTTGGACAGGCAGGTCATACTTGCGATCATCGCAAGCCCGCCCCCGGCTTCCGATGACTGCAACAAGGGGCGGGGTTCCTATGACTGAAAACGAGCAGTGTGCACGTGCGTACACCGGCCCGTTCGGCAGTTGTCGAACAAGCAAGTTGTCGATTCTCGGCGGGTTTTCAAACCTGCTTGTTCGAAGGAAGGCGTGTGACCGTACAGTAGAAACGGTCGCACGCCTTCCATACACTTTGCGATTATCGTACAATCGCTGGATTTCCCGAGATTCTCGTACGATAATCGTGCAGTGTATGGGCACCTTAAGACTGTTCTGAGATCAATCAGAATTCCTCAACAGGTGCATTTGATCTACAGTTAACCTGCTAAAAGCAGGTTTTGCATTTCTATAGACTTGTATAGGAATGCAAAACCCACTTGAAGTGAACAAAAGCCCATCAACACAGGCCTTTACTGCACTGGAAGGGTGTCAGCTGCTGACACTCTGTTGAAGAACTTGACCACAAGTTCTTCAGCTGAACTTTTTCCCTCTTTATTTCAGGGCTGTCCAAGACCGCCTTTGAGGGCCATTATGTTTTAGGATTTTTGTTACACACAATAAAGAAGTAAGATTTCTGAGTCGGGTCTCCATGCTCTGGTTTGTGCATGGCCCTCTGAGATTGGAGTTGGTCAGCCCTGTGCTTTGTGCATGCCAGGCAAAGCGACAGGTTGACTTTAATGCTGTCTTCCCAGGTAGTCTTCCTTTTGCTTCCCCATCTCTCTGTTCAGCTGTCAAGGAAAGGCATCCCTGTAAGTTTACAATTGTCTCCCGCTCCCTTGTGGCAACACTGAGCCAATCGCCAATGCTGTCAAACGACATTGGCCACATCCTTCCCCACTCCCGGTAGTACCATTTTTTTTTTTTCTAGTGGCCAGTGGCTGAACGGAGCAGCAGGGGAGAGATGGAAAGGTGGATATGTTCCACAGGAGAGGAGAGCATTTCCGATTTTGCTAAACAGTTTGCTGAAAATGCAGCAGAGTACAGACTCTAACAGGCTATGTCCCTCAGACACCAAGGCTGTGCTGTGCCATGTGTCACCATACAACTCTATGTTTCATATGTAGTTTCTTTATTATTTCTTGCTCACAGAGATCCCTTCATGTTATTTTTATCTATAGTGTCACTTATCTAATGACAACTCGCCAACTCTGTTAATCTTTTTCACAGGAATAGCACCCAACGATCTGCATGCATTTGTGAAGTTTGATTTCCCATATCCAAGCACGGTAAGAGGTTTGGGTGGGGCTGACTCTAAGGCGTCATTCACATGTGGCTTAAGGCTGCGGCAAGAACGTACAGGTTTTTGAGGCAGAAATCCCAGGCGCGTCCTTACAGATGGGACAATTGAATCACAGGCTGACAGCGGCTGCATCTGTGAGTGGCTGTCCCCATGTTATTGTACATGGAACGATTACCCGCAGTTCGGGATAGATAATTGTCCCTAGATGCAGACAGATTGTGTAAAGGGTCAATCATCTATTTCAAACCGCAGGTAAACGTTCCATGTACGATTTACATGCTAACAACCACTCACAGATGCAGCAACTGAATGACATGCTGACAATGGCTGCATCTGAATGGACACACCTGGGTTACCTGCTGCAAGAATCTGTAAGTTCTTATCGCAGGAATCCCCAGCCGCAGCTTGTGAATGTAGCCTAACCCTCAAATCTCAAACTCTCTGAGAATTCTTTGTGGATTTTCTAGAGCACAGGTGGTGGGCAAACAGAATGTTGCCGCAGTTCAGTCCGCAGTATATTTTAAGACTGGACTCTTTTTTTGGGAGCACCCCATCTCATGCTTCTATTATTACTCCTAATTATTATGTTTTGGAATTTAGCTGAGATTTTAAACCCTGTCAATATTTGTGTCTTGCAGGAACAGCCACAAAAGAATAAAACCTACGTTGTTAAGAACACCAATTCTCCAGGTGAGATTTATTGAAGTATGGCTGTGCCTAGCGCAGCATGTTCATGATTGTTCCGAGAACTAAAGCCACCGCTAGTCAGAATACCGCTGTAGGCAAATTATACTCTCTGTCCAGAGGAATAAACCAAGCTGACAATGACTTTCTGCTTGTAGATAATATACTATGTCTGATCTATACAGCATGATTGGTTGCAGCGACTTCACGTGGCCTTTGGTGGAACATGTATTTTTTAATTCTGATGAACAGAACTTGGGTGTCCAGTTTTAGTCTTCATTCAGTGTACTTGTGTAGGCTTTCAGCACCCCCTCACTACAACTTCTTGTAGGGGGAACCTGAAAAAAACCCCCAAAAAAGTGAAGATAGAATTGCTAAATCGCCTCAAAGTGAAAATTTCTGTTACATGTCAGCAGATCACATTATGAAAGGGGGAAAAAACATTTCGGGGAAGAAACAATGAGTGGAATTTATCAAAACTGGAGCAGACCAAATCTGGAGCAGCTGTGCATGGCAACCAATCAGCTTCTCTCCTTTTTTTTTCCAAATCTTAACTGAAGAGAGAATCTGATTGGTTGCCATGGGCAACTGCTCCAGATTTTGTTCTCTCCAGTTCTGATGAAGTCCCCTCATTGTGTAATCATTTGGATTTTCTTAGTGAATTTCCTTTGTGATTTATAGCAGTGCTTCTCCATAAATATATACTTGCAAGGGTAATCTAAACTTCTATGTTTATAGTCAGATCATGCCACACATCTAACTACCATAATGGTCTTTTATACAGAGTATGAACAGTCGTTTAAACTAACTATCAACCGCAACCACAGAGGCTTCAAACGGCTGGTTCAGGCCAAAGGCATCAAGTTTGAAATCTTCAACAAAGGGTGAGTGACCAGCACTGTGACGATGGAATGAGAGCCACGACCTTTCCCTAAGCTTTAACTAGTGTTATCATCATCATTGTTGCCCCATATAATATACCAGTGACCAGCACTGTGAAGGTGGACGGAGAGCCACGACCTTTCCCTAAGCTGTAGCTAGTGTTATCATCATCATTGTTGCCCCATATAATATACCAGTGACCAGCACTGTGAAGGTGGACGGAGAGCCACGACCTTTCCCTAAGCTGTAGCTAGTGTTATCATCATCATTGTTGCCCCATATAATATACCAGTGACCAGCACTGTGAAGGTGGACGGAGAGCCACGACCTTTCCCTAAGCTGTAGCTAGTGTTATCATCATCATTGTTGCCCCATATAATATACCAGTGACCAGCACTGTGACGATGGAATGAGAGCCACGACCTTTCCCTAAGCTGTAGCTAGTGTTAGCTTTGAAATGTTGTAACTATTAACGTTGTCACCCCACTTAATATAAATATCAGAAATGTGCTGTAACCCCCCTAGTAAGAACTGGCTCCTCAGTCTTGGCTGATAGAAGAACACAAGGCTTGCAGGTGTCCTGGCCTCCCAGGAGTTATCTGTAAATAATGGTTGGTGGGGGTTGTATTGACCGTTGTCATCCAACTTGGAGCATACTCACTTTCTGAACGACAGCAATGAAATGATCTAAGGTTCAGAAGGTGCCTATCTCATGTGCAGCTAACAGACTTGTTTTCTTGATTATATGTTGTCTCAAAATAATGTCCTCTCCTCTTCTGCAGAGTATTCTTGTTCAGAAGCGATAAACAAATCGGGACTGCAAGTGTTAAACTGGACAAGTTAGAGACACAGTGTGAGATACGAGAGATTGTGGAGGTAAAGTCACTTTAATACAAACATTTAGTAAAACAAAAAGGATACTTTCCCTTTACAGTGATATGACACAGTGACTAGATTTTACATGAGAGAAAGCCTAGTGAATCATTTTGCTTTCTACCCCAGAGTTAGGCATGTCCTAATAATCTTCTCATTTCAGGTGTTTGATGGAAGAAAACCAACGGGGGGGAAACTTGAGGTAAAAATTAGGTTGAGGGAGCCTCTCAATGGTCAAGACCTCCAAACGGTGACAGAGAAGTGGCTGGTGATGGACCCTATTACAAGGAAGGTAACGGCATCTGGTTGCTTAGTTGGGCAGTTGAATCTCAGTTCCCAGTTGGGCATAGAATCTCTTTGCATTATAAAAGTGGGATCCCCTAGGGGTGAAGGAGCTACAAGTCATGTCTGGACATTTGTTTAGTTTTGCAGTTTAAGACCGCAAGAGTTTCAGTCCTTGAAGTTGGTGGTAGGTTGCTTTGATCCATATGCTCTATTTTGTAATTGAAATCTGATGGAAATTGCTAGAACATTATTTGTTCTATGACCATGAATGGGCCAGTTAGATGAACCATTGCAACTCTCTTGCAAAGATTTTTCGCTGCTTTTTTGGGGAGGGACAATAAAATGTGTTCCGGACTTTAAGAAGACCCTCTATTGCTGATGGAGATTGTTAGGAAATCTCAGTACAATGGGTCACGTTGGCAAGTACTTAGCCCCATACACACTGCTCTCTCCTCAGACAAGTTTGTCTCTGGTCTGTACATTTTAGAAAACACTTGCCCTTGCCTAGGGCTCTCTGCCTGCAGGGCATATGTAGTATTTATATGTAATATTTCATATTTACCTGACCGGTATTAAGGTGCAGGGATCTGCTGGCAGAAGCAGTCAATGTTCTGGTGGCTCTGGGGAATCAGTACATCCTCATCTAAGCCTTTCCTCCCCTGAAATGTCTTAATTGTCCGCTCCACGGGGTTAAAATGGAGGGCATGCTGGTATTCCTCATTACTCTGGATTGGCCCAGGCAGATGTGGAATGCTGACCTAGTAAGACTTCTAGCAGACGCACTGTGGGCCCTGCCAGACCATCTGGATCTACTGCCATCCTGCCTCTTGGTTGCTGGCTTTAACAGCGTAACTTTTGAATCCCAGGTTCTAAGGGAAAGGGGCATCCCCGAGTCTTTGATTCCTATGATGCTAAAAGGGCCACTTAGAAAAAGGTCTATCATTGGACATTGAAGGTGTACTTAACATACTTCCAATTCTTTGATTAGAACCTTTGTCCAGGGTTTCTTCCGTGTGCTTCCCCCTGTCTGTTCCCCTGTTACTTTGTAAGATCTGAATCTGCTTCCCTCAATGCTTCAAAAGCCGCCATTTGAATCTGTTAGATACATTCCTGTCTCTATTCTCACCCACAAGGTGGCTTTCCTTGTGATTATCACCTTTGTGAAGTGAGTAAGGTGGTGACCGTATCTTGCAATGAACGTTTTTTTGATCTTGCATAAGGGACTAGGTCGGGTTGAAGCCCGGGACTTCCTCCTTACCTAAGGTAGCCTCTGTCTTTCCCACACCCAGGAGTCCATTGAGGGACTCGGGTCACATCCCTCTGTGTTTCCGGTCATGCTCTCGGTCCTGTTTGCTACAAAGCTGAGGCATGCTGGAAGTAGGAGGGGGATATACCCTGGGCTGTCCTACAGTTGTTATATTTGCCAGTTTCCAATCTTCCTGTAGGCTGCAGTAAAACCCAAAGGTTTACGACTTTCTGTGTTCCTCAATGAACTTTAAGAAAATGATTTTATGTTGAGTGAAAATAAAATCATTTTACAAGGCTCTTCTAGCCAGTCCAGTGATATGATGATGGGTCCTTCTTCTTTACTGGTAGTGGGAGGACCTTCTTCCTGCACCTGAGTGATGCTCATGTAATGTGTGAGCACAATTCAGTGCAGTAGTACTTTGGGGGCAGGTTGCTCAAAGATGTCCCTCCATTCACGACAACCTGGTCTCAGGAAGTGGGTTGAATGAGTCCTAATAAAACAAAAATGGGGGGGGGGGGGGGGA